TATATATACGTATATATTTCTACAAGCGTGATTCAGTGATAACAATTGCTACGACCTTGAATGCCAAACATGATTGCTTGGTTTTAGTGGTGCACTGTTCCCTTGTTGTGAATTAGTTAACTGGTTTCGTATGGCCCTGAAATCAGGTAATTGTGGATTCGAGCCCGACACTCAAGTTGCCATCCTTGGTGAATCAATTAATAGCAATATTAAAACCGAGTGGGCTCAGTATAAGAGCTAGTTGCAGGGAAACACACGGCAAATGTGAGATACACCACCCACAGTGAAAGTTTACAGCGCTCTTTTAGACAGCGGCTGTCACGATTTTCTCTCTTTACTCATCTGAACAACTAGCGTGCAGTCATAAAATCTTCATAAAATGACTGAAACAACTGTTGCGACCATCAGCTTTTCATAGGAAGTGGAAATGTTTATCCGACAGAGAGAGGAATGGTCACCTCTCAGGTATCTGGACACGACCTGCAGCTGCGAAGACACATTTTTGTTGAAGCGGAATGTCAGACACATTTATTATCCATGAGGTTCACGTGTAGAAACTAAAACTTTTATATTCTACACGTTTTCTCCCACCAAACCACCCTATGTTTTATTTCTAAGTGTTTTGCAGTAGGTTTATCTTCCATTCATGACATGGGAGAGTAAAACCTGGACGAAATATGACTGGCTATTTTTTTCTGGCAATCGTCTGTAGCTGTAAAACTTAGAGAATTAAGTACTTTGTGATAGTGAAAATATGATGGTTCGATTAAATTTGGAGCCATAGGAGGTCGCCGGCTGAATCTCCTTCATGGTTTCGCCAGGTTTGTTCTACCGATAAATTCCAGTGCAAATGAAGCTCACACGTTTCTGGTTAATTTTGACAACCATTCGGACTCCTAAATAAGTCTAATCTTAGTTAGATCGGGAAGAATCCAACAGGTTCTTAGATAGTCTAGATAAATGGAATCTGTGTGGGAAGAGATCACAATCACTTAATGTTGATCCCCCATGTCAACTCAGATTTAGAGCTTGCATAAGCTTCTTGACCTATTAAGTGAGAGGACGAATCAATGCAGTGATTCATTTGACATATTTTGAAAGGAGAATAGTGCTCATTTCAGATGTAACAAAACTTTGTTTTTATTTGTGGCAATAAGAATGATGGCGGCACCGAACTACGTTTTGAATCCGGTTGTACTCTTGTTTGAAATCCATCTGAGAGGGGTTCAATTTAATCAGTTTTTTTGTCTACAACAATCGATGAGCTCACCCGTGTGTTCATTTCATCAGGCCAAATCTATTGTGAAGGGTCGAACGGTCGGCGAAACCAATCACATTACTCAAGCGTAAGCAAGTTCACCGCTTCACACATGATAATTCGAACCTGTCCAGCGTGCTCAGTGAAGTGGTGGTAACACGGACCCTTTGCGTGTCACCTGTTGGTAGTTCAAACCCTGGCATGGCTAGCGCTATGCACTGCTGATGAGATCCCAGAAGAGGAAAACTCAAATCCAGTGTTTTCCCCTCTGGTAAGAATAGTTACAGTAGGACAAGTGGACTGCTCAAACGTGAGTGATGTGGATATGGACTGTACTTCGGCAGTCCAAGCATGCTTCAACATTCTGTGAAGAATAACCGTTATGTATTAACCCAAGTATGGAAGAAATCTTCTCGTCTACTTCATTTTTGTCAATTATTGCTCTGAAAAATTAGGAATCGGAAACCAACTTTAATTACCGACGATTCATATTTCATGTAAAATGACTGCACATTCAGCTTGTTAACCAGGCTGTCTCAGCCCATCAATAAACACAACTATTATTCGTCCCCTTGCCGAGCAAAACTCGTAACAACTCTGTTCCCTCCTGTGTGCGTTTTGTTAATTAAAGTTGAAGCCTGTCATCCTACACAGCAAAAGGTCCTTTTTGTCCGAGCGCGTTCCCGGAAAGGTGCGTTTGTGTTCCATGTGAGGAACGCAGAACCGTTAGTTACAGTGCACACTAGCCGAATAATTTTTTTCTCTCTAACTGCTGGTCGCCAAACTGACATGTGTCATTTGTGAAAAGCAACTCGGTGGAAATAAATGTCTGAGTGTTCCTTTAGTCGAAACGCACAAGTTGAAAATTTATCACGTTTTTGTACTTATTTGGTCTTTCGTTGTTAAGAAGAGACACAGAGTTACAGATGCGCCACATGTACTGTTATCTGCAATTGCAAGTGAATGGATTTCTTGTATTTTCAACCCTGACTGTTTATTGTACTCAAAAGGTATCCCGAAGGGCTAGTGGAAGTCTCTGCCAAACAGATGGTTTTATTAACAAACTTAGCTCTCTCTCTCTAGCGACTGCAGGCTGAATTTCAAAGGACAACAGTATGCTATAAAACACCATACTTCGGTAAACTTAATCTCTTGTGGGGTGATTTGAAGTTACTGAAACAAGCAGTACGTCAAAGACAATTTTGAAGCACACACTTTGGACTGTTTCAGTGGCAGTTTGCTGTTGAACAGTCCCAAGTACAAGGACTTATTGTGACAGCGTTTGAAACTGAAAATGACGCTGTTTTCCGACGATGATGGGAAGTAAAAAAACACAAGTTACGTAAAACGCCGAAATAGTCTAAGCAGTATCTATCCGATGGCTTTCATTCAATGTCGTGGATGTTTATACACTCAGTAGAAGTTGCTAGTGGTAGAAAATTGTCGAATAAAAACTTTGGTCTTATGCTGGCTTTGACAATAACATTCTTTCACAGGATAACCTTTCTGTATTTACTGTTGCCGGTTAGCCTAGGCTTTGCGGCATCAAAACGTTCTTAAACCTAATACAATGTCGTTTAAAAGTGTTAGTTTTAATTTCTCTTGAAATTCAAGCTTCTTAAGACAGATTGCACCCCAAAAGATGAAGCTTATACCAAAAGCGCAAGTCTGATTTCTAAGAGATTTCTTAGCTATGGTTTACTGAAGTGAATTTAAAAAAAACTTTTGTATTATTGGGTGATGAGAACAGCTGAGCCTATTCTTTGCAACCTCCCTTGGATAAGAAGACGCTTTGCGTTTCGCAAGCAATTTGACACACACTACCTGTTTATTTGTGTACGAAACCCGTATTTTCACTATGTATGAGCCCGCTCCTCTCAGCTCTTTGGGTCACTGAATGG